CATAGATCTTGCCTCAAAAGAAAAAAAAAGTTCAAACTATCAAGACCATAGGTTTTGGGGCTGGGGATTTAGCTCAGCGGCATAAGCACCTGCCTTGCAAGTGCGTGGTCATGAGTTCGATCCCTGGTACTGATAAAAAAGAAAAAAAAAAAGACCATAGGTTTGTCTTTACAGCAGTCTCTATCCAGTTTTACTTTCTGAGATGTCAGTTACTTTTGGTTAGCCAGGTGCAACGGTGCACACCTGTAATGCCAGCACTTGAGAGGCTGAGGCAGGAGGATCACTGCAAGTTTGAGGACAGTCTGGGCTACAAACTGAGTACAAAGCTGCCTTGAACCATATAGTGAAGCCTTGCCTCAAAAAAGACCAAATAAATAACAACTAAATAAAACCCCACATTCTTTGGCTGACTATAGTCCAAAAATAGTAAATGGAAAGTTCCAGAAGTGAACAATTTGTAAGTTTTAAATTGCACACCATTCTGAGTCGTAGAATACAGCATTGAGTCTCACTGTCCCTTCCCATGCAGGACTGGTATCAGCTCTCGGTGCCATGTTGCCCCTGGGGTACGCTGCCTGCCTGCCGTGCCCTGGCAGTGCCCCAGGTGTCAGAGCAGTTGTCACAGGGTCACGGGGCTTGTGTCTATTAATTCGGACCCTGCAGCCCAGTGCCACCTCCTAGGGTCTGCACCGATGGCCTCACTTCCACTCACCACACAGGCCACGGTGGCTTCTGCCCAGATTTCAGCAGAAGGCCCGGAGGCCAGGCGGTATACCCAAGGGTGTGGCATGTGGCACTGTGTGAAGCTGCAAGGGCAGTGGGGGCCCCAGAAGTTTAGAGAAACCAGGAACGTGGATTGTCGGAGGAAAACTGCATGGAGGGAGCAGGGCCAGCTCAAAGGACCGTGTCAAAGTGACCACCAAAGGGAATGTTTTGAATCCATTCAGGACACAAGGCAGCACTCATGACACTGCTTCCAGAAGGCGTTCAAAGGAACAGGAAGGATTCAGAGGCACCTAACTAAGGGAATGCTGTGCTCTGCTGTATCTTTAAATGTAAACACCACAATGTCCACTGCAGCTCCTAAACTGTGCATGCGCTTGGTCTGCTCTGACATGCGGTCCGCTCTGACGTGCATAAAATCGGGGACTCTCAGCTTTGATAGCCCTTGAGGATGGCACACGACCAACTGACCTAAGAGCCAGACAGCATGCTGGTTTCTTCAGTACTGAGGACGGGCCCCAGGGCTTTCATACGAATCTCTTTTACCTTTAATCTCAAGACAAGGTCTTGCTAAATCACTAAACTGCCCAGGGTTGAACTTTGGATCCCTGCCCTAGCCTCCCAGAGTACTGGGATTATAGGCGTGCACCACCAAACCCAGTTTAATTGCTCTATTATCAAAGTGTCAAAATGCAATTTTAAAAACAGTAAGACATGGGGATGGTGGTACAAGCCTAGAATCCCAGCACTTGTTGTGTCTGAATGGCTTTCGGAGGAGCATCCCAGCACTTGGGATGCTGAGGAAGAAGGAAACCAAAACATTAATTCAGCAAGATCAAGGAGGGTTTAACTCTGTTCTATAAGCAGAGGGCTGCACACAGTGGACACAGGAGAGGGGATGTGCTGGGAGAAGTGGGTGATCTGACACCTCTGCCCCAGCCAGGTGACCAATATCAGTATTAGCAGTGCTAAGTGATGCTGGCAGCATGAACTCTCAAAGTGAGGACACCTTATCTCATCTGTGCTCCCACCCTGAGCACAAATCAGACACTGACTGCTGGTGGGGCCCACCCAGTGCTGCTCAGAACCATCACAATGACCAGGGCAGGGAGCATCCCAGGTAGAGGAAGAGACTGGAGTATCCAACTCCGCCTGCACTAAAACTGGCAACACGCTGGGGAGCCAAGACTTTACACCCTTAAAAAACCTGGAAAAATTATTTCACTTTTTTATGCTTTCTAGGTTTGTATTTATAATTAGCACACGTATAGAATTTTAAAAATCACTAAGGGTGTAAAGCGGGGAGAAGAGGATGTAAAAGGAATTAAGACTCATCAGTGCCCATGATGAATGTGATCATTACCCACTGTACTACAAATGTGTACTAATAAAACCAGGAACTTAAGTAACAGTAGAAAGTTTACACATGCTATCTTGGAAAAGTGTTGGTAGTGTGCTCTAGTCAGAGACACTGACTTCGAAACTTTAGATTCAACTAGAGCTTGTCTTCCTAGGCTACAGAGCTCCAGCAGACTCCTCCGGAAGCCTGGCCCACCCATGGGTCCTTTGCAAACAAGAAGGGGACTGAGAGATGGAGGGAAGGTGTAGGAAGGGGGTGAGGGGCAGTAAAAACAGTTAAGATGCATGATGTCGCATTGTTTCATTAATGTGAGAAGCTTCTCCCCGCTTTACACCCTTATTCCTCTATGTGCATGTATGTAAAAATAATAGTTAAGATAGTTTTACTACTGACTTGTCTGAGTCAGTAAAGAGAAAGATCTGTGCTGGGATTATTCGGATAGTTGAATGCAGATGTCTTGTGCACTGGGTGAATGATTTGGGGGTGAGAGTGAGGGGCGTGACTGTTGGCTCAACTGATATATTTTGAAATTTTGTTGTTTTTTTTAATCCATGACATTAAAGGGATTTAAAAAAAATTTTTTTAAAATGGACAATGTCCAGGTGCCAACTCCACACAGTGACTGTGATCATATGGACTACACACATGTACAAATAAAAACATTTTAAAATAAAAACATGAAGATTAGAGAAGAAAACTTTGATAGCACTCACTCCTGTGTGCAGAGGGGCCCAGCAGCCTGTGACTGAGGCCTGCAAAGCCAACTACTCCCAGGGGACAGAAGAGACAAGCCAAGCTGATCTCTCACTGCAGAGGTAAGGAGGCCACACATTGGGCTCTGTTGTCACGGGGTAAAAGGGCCCAGCACCCACAGCTTTGGACTCCTCTGCTCACTGCATGTGCCCTACCGTCAGGTTCCATGGGTTTTGTTTGCATGCATGGGTTTTGTTTGCATGACACTCCCACCCAGGGGGAGGACTGTGCTCCAGAGAGGAGGCTCACGGGGCCCCAAATCCTAAAGAGACTCCTTGCATCGTAATTTGAGTCTGACAGTTGAGTATCAGTTGTCACAGCAACTGAAATCAGAGCTGATGGACGATACCTGGGCTGGCTCTGATTTGCACAGGCAGGCAGACAGGAGGGACCTTTGCTCGGCAGGTAGGAGGGCAGGGCCACATTGCCCAGGTCAAGGCTGAGCCACAGAGCAGAAACCAGGAGTCGGTTTCTCCCAGGAGGGGGCCTGCCACCAAGGAGCAGAAGGCAGTCAGCCCAAGGAGAGGCAACCACAGCGCCTGCCTGCCCCTTCCCTGGATGTTTCCGTACATTTATTCTCTAGGTAGATATGGTAGTGTTTGCTTGTATCCCAGCACTCAGAAGGTTGAGGCAGGAGGACTGCTGGGAGTTCTGAGCTACAAAAATGCATTGAAGGCCAGTCTGAAGCTCTCAAAAAATTAAAAATGAAATCTTTATATGGTTGCCATATGTAAACATCTGCTTTAACAGTATAAGAATTCTACTAGCTGAATCCCTATCCACTGAGTGTAAGGCAGACCCAATCAAGGAGCCATCCCAGGGCCTCGGGTGCTCAGTCTCCCACTCTCACCTACCCCCAACTCCAGCAGCATAACAAGGACTAAGTGGAAACCAAACTCCTCCAGCCCATCACCCAGAGGAGTGCAGGGCCCAGGCCCTGGTCCTGAGCTGAGGTGGTGTGGGGACAGGGCTGCCACTGTCTAGGACAGAGGGAGGAAGTCCGCTAGAGGCTGACGTGGCAGAAGCCCAGGCAGGTCTGCTACACCTGCAGTCAGCCTGTGAACACTTTCCCAAAGGACTGTCAGCCAAGTGACTGTTTTCTATGGCACTCTGGCCTTAAAAAGCTTCTTCTTGACTTTCTCAGTAGCAGCTTCAAGCGGGCAAAAGGAGAGGGCGGCAGATGGGGAGGTGAAGAACCAGCACGGCTCCAGCTCACAGCTTGGGAAACCCTCCTCCCCTTCCCCAGCTCCAACAGACCCTCGCACAGGTGCATGTGTAACACGACCTGCAGGCCTAAGTGAAGTGGCCTCAGCGACTGCTCCAAGTTTAAAAGTACCACTGGAAAGAGGGTGAAGACTGCCAAGATCAGCCCCTGAATTTACTCTCTTAGAGTAGCTGAACATTACAGAGCGTGCAGGGCACAGTGCCACAGGCCTGTAATCCCAGCGCTTTGAGAGGCTGAGGCAGGAGGTACACAGCAACTCAGTGACTGAGGCCCTGTCTCAAAAATAAAAAGTATCTTTCAGAGAGGGCTGGGGATGTAGTTTATTGCAAAGGTCTAGGTTCAACTTCTAAGTGCTGCAAAAACAAACAAAAAGCAACTTAGTAAGCAGGGCACAATGAGGAGGATCCTGAGCTCAGGCCAGCCTGGGTGATTTAGAGACCCTGTCTTAAAATCAATGAGGACAGGGAATGCAGCTCAGTGGAAGCACCTGCCTTGCATCCAAGTCTTTATTCTGAAATGAATCCCCAGTATTGCAAAACCATGGTAATAAGAAAAAGGGCTTCATGCAAATCCTTACAGGTGAAGCCCTGCACGCAGTAACTCACTCACTCACACACAACGCCCTTCAAGGAGAAGATGGGCTCCCAGTGGCTGGTTATTTAAGCAACCAGGGGGTGGAGGCCACGGACGTTTCTCAAGTTCAGCTGCGGCTCTCCTGTTCGCACGAACATTGGGAAGTCTCCTATCTGCTGAGCAATGGGCTTCCAATTTCCCAGGACGAACACCCTAGACAGCCTTGTTTCCTGATGGGAAAGGGAATATGAACTTGAGGGGAGGACCTAATGGGGCTGCCACACCCAGGATCCTCCTGGATGGTTGTCCCTGAAGGCAGGACAGGCAGGAGGATCCCACGGGTCAAAGCCAACAGAACAAGGAGTCTTGGTGGGTTAAAGTGTTTATTTATGTGTTTAAACTGTACATTCTCCACAGATCATTATTAACAAGTCTGCAGGTGAAGTTTAACCTGTGCATAGTGGGAAGAGACATGGATAAGGTCAAAGGGGAGGAAAACGAAAAAAAAAAAAAAAAAAAAACAGCTACAGAAAATTAGAAAAACAAAGCAAAGTAACACCACTGGTTATCAGAACCTTAGGGTTAGAAAACAGAAAGCTGTGAGCAACAACATCAACAATACAAGCATTACAGAGACTCGTGTGAAGCAAACAAAACCCTTCCAGCTTTCCACAAGTGTCTGCAGACCCAGCTTCGTGGGCAGCAGAATGCCCCCTCTCTAGCCACAGCCCCGGCTCCCGCCAGGCCCTCAGCTGCCTACTTAGTGTGGTCTTCCCCGGGCGGACAGCAGAGGCCAGTGGGGGAGGTGGAGGGCGCAGGGGGCAGCAGCGGCAGGCCCAGAGGGAGACACTAAGCTTTGGATGCACTTCGGAGGGGAAGTGGAGCGTGAAACGCCACGGTGAGTGAGGAACATCACACATATACACACACACACACATACACGCTACAGGCTGGGTGCTGTGGAAGAACTGGATTTCTAGGACAACAGCGGTGGACACCCTCGTGTGTATGCGTCAAGCTCGCTGAGAGATGGGAGAACACAGGACACCCTGGCCCGTCTCGGCAACAGGCCCAGCACGGGCACGGCAAGCTCCGCACACCACTAGGCCAGGGTAGCGCTGTGCGGCAGTGGTCACTTTCAGTTCTGCTTGTTTCTCAACAACTTTCTCAAAGTTTAAAAAGGGAATACTGTTTGTTACTTTTTTTTTTAAATAAAAACTAGAACAGTGGATGAGCCTAGAGTTGATTTATACAATGTAACTGGAACAGCCTGCATATACAATCTATCATTAAAAAATCAACATTTTCCATTTATATAGAGCATGTGTGAAACAATACAATAGAAGTGGGATTTCTGATTAATTTAAAAAAGAAAACTACATCCTTCAGATATTTGCAATAGATCATTTTTCACTTAGGTTTATATATCATATATTGTTATATTAACATTTTTCACCCATTTGGAAGAATGGAAATTGCAATTCTACAGTAGTACTTTAGAGTCTTCAGGAGCCAACACGTCAGGATGTACAATGAGACCTCCCGGCGGTGGCCCTGGCAGGCGGCAGTCAATCCAGGACGTGGGGCTCTTCTGCCTGCCCGCACCAGCTTCTGCCGAGTGCCGCCTGCCTCCACCGCTCAGATCTGCATCTGCTCCAGGTACTTGTACGTGGGGTTTTCATAGCCATGGTTCTGCATCTTGTTCAGGTGGCGCTCTTCGGGGGTGAGCATGGGGTCAACCTGCAAGCACAAAGACTGCGCTTGTCATAGGGGCTGTAGCAGGCGCCCCAGGGAGTCAGGAGACCCTGCTGCACTGCCCGAGGGACTGAAAGCAGCACAGAGTCCTCCTCTCACAGGACAGATACATGAGGCAGAGGAAGGGGATGAAAAAGAACTACAGTGTGTCCCGCATGTGAGTCCACGCCCCACAGTGTAATCACACACTGTAAACATGTCCTCAGTGAGAGCTGGTGGCGAGGATGTAGAGAAGGAAAGGGAAGAGCCCAGGAAGAAGGCTTCCTTCTGAAACTAGAGTTCTGAAAGCTTGATTCACAGCGCCAGGCGAAGTCTCCGCTCAGGTCCCTGCCCAGGGAGACTGGAAGTGTCACATTAGTGATGACATAAGAAGCAGGGCCGGATGGACTCTGGCCCTCTGTAGCTCTGAAATGCCACAGCTGAATGGTCTCTAGGAGCAGCTATAACAAAAACACTAAACAGGCCCCAGGCTAATCTTCCGGGGCACATGCCGATTCTGATTGTATTCAAAAGACTCCACCAGCCATCGGGGGCACTCGAGCTGTAGGTTCCCCATCACTGCCCTAACCATTTTCCTTCATCTCCCCCAAATACTTGGGCTCTTTGTGTGTTTCCTGTTGCTTTTTGTAATTTTTAAAACATGTGGGGCTGGGGATTTAGCTCAGCGGCATAAGCGCCTGCCTTGCAAGCAGGCAGTCGTGAGTTCAATCCCTGGTACCGATAAAAAGAAAAAAGACAAAACAAACAAACAAACATGTGCAGCACCAGGATTCACACCCCACAGCCCAGGGGTGCTGGGCAAGTGCTCCCCTGCTGAGCTATGGGAGCTGTGCTCCTAGTATACCTCCTGCTTCTCTTCCGATCCCTCCCCCTAGAGGAGCTGGACTGTGGTATACAGGTCAGTGGCGGAACATCTGCTGGCTTAGCGTAAGAAAGGACCCAGCTGTGTCTGCAGCATCACCACAAAGAGCACCAGCAGTCCTTCATTTCTTCACTTCTTTTTTTAAAAAAAAGACAAGGTCTCACTATAAGTTAGGCTGGCCTTGAAGTTACAGTGATCCTCCTGCCTCAGTCTCCCAAGTGCTGGGATTACAGGTGTGTACTATTGCACCCAGCCTCATTTTGTTCTTAAATATCTGACATGGCTGAAAAAAGAAAACACTAGGCACACTCTGAGAAAACCAATTTCATTCTCCAAAGCATAGAGCATCTCTAGGACTGCCTGATACTCAGTCAAAACCCAGACAAGTGCTCAAAGGCAAGGGCAGCCCCTCGCAGCAGGCGTGGTGGAATCCTGCTAAGGCTGGCTCCCCAGTGCCACTTGGTAGCATAATTGATGTTGGCAACCGTCCAGGTCGGACTCATGCAGTCCCCGCCCTCCCACCACCCTGGCAGACACTGTGTGCCAGTGAAGCCCTCACCTCCACAATCCCGTGGCTGATGGTGCCATACTGCCTCTTCCGCAGCATCACCAGGCTGATAACGATGACCGTGGCGATGGCCACTGCGATGACCAGCAGGCCAATCAGGGCGCTGCTGCTCAGACTGAAGTCCTCCCGCACTGGTCGCACAGACTCCTAAAATCATAAAGTGAACAGGGACTCAGTCCGGGAACCACCTGGTGATGAGGTGGTAGCCAGTCAAGGGCCATGAGAGGTCCCGAAAGCCCAGAGCAGCATGGAGACCCTGCTGTGTAACAACCACACATCGGTGGACAGAGCCCAATCCTGCCAACACTTGTGGGCTTCTCTCCCAAGTACAGGATATTAACCTGAAATGCCAGGCGCCTCTCACTGCCCCCTGGACCAGAGGTGGGAGGACACTTGGCCTGACATGGAACCTGCTTCCAGAGCTGCAGGTTCTGCAGCTCAGCACTTACCGGCTCCCCCTCCAGGCCTCCAACTCTCTCGGCATTGAAGATCATCTCCTTCACATCCAGAGTCTCATCAACAACCTGAAATGGGAGAGAGGTCAGCAACCAGCACCTGAGGCCAGGGGAAATCTGGTATAAACATCACTGCTACTTTTCTACCCCATCTGGTGATGAAAAACAAACGGACCCCTCCTAGCCCATGGGTTCTGTCACATTCCCCCAAATCCACATCCAAACCCTTGGGTCCACGGCTGGTCTCATAGGGTTTTCACAAAGCAGCCACATTACATACCAAATTCAGCTAATGTAGATATAATCTGGAAGCTAATCCAGAAACATCAGTAATAGAAAATGCTAAAAGGATATAAAGAGTATGAATGTCAGTAGTATAAGAACCAAATCCAAGAGCTGGGCGTGGTGGCTCACGCCTGTAATCCCAGCACTCGGGAGGCTGAGGTAGGGGGCTTGTTGCGAGACCAGCCTAGGCTACAAAAACCCAGGCGTGGTGGCCCATGCCTGTCATCTCAACACTTGGGAGGCTGTTATGGATTAAAAACTGGTGGTCAATTTAACACTAGCTGTATTACATCTGCATGGCGCTGAGCGTAGATGTTCCACCTGAGGAAAGTTGCCAGCATAAACAGAGATGTGGAGAAGAAGCTATTGCATTGAGGTGTTGTGGGTTCTCCTACGAATTGCTGTTTGAGCTGTTAGTTCTCCTGAAGAAGCTCTAGTCCTCACATCGAGCATCGCTTCCTGGCTTCAGAGGGAAGACGTGTGCTGCTTGGTCTCCAGGATGAACTTGTCAAGCTGCTTCCTGGCACGTACTCGACTGTGCTTGTTATCAGAGGAGCTCGGGGCCTCCATGTTGGAGGATGGCTGTGATGCCTTTCAGGACAGCCCAGGTCTTTGTTGTCAGTGTGACTTCTTGGCTGCAGCGTAGAACCCTCAACCTATCAGCACAGCTCCTTCACCCCACTGGCATGGACTTTCTGGATTTCAACTGACCTTTGGGCCTTCCCGGCATGGATCCGTAAAAGAGACTAGCGTGAGTCCTTCTTGTGGGCTCTGGACTCCAGCTGGACTCGTGGGAGGCATTGTTGTAAGCTCTGGGTTTTCATCTGGACTCACGTGAGACATTGCTGTGGGATTTAGGCCCTTGACTAAACATTCTATGTCTTTTGTGTTGTGCACAGACTTCCTGCAGTTTCTGGTGTTAACTCTGGTTGACCATCATGAAACAGTATTACAAATGCCATGTCCTGATTCTAATTGTTCTGTGCACAACCCCTGACTACAACAGAGGCTAAGGCAGGAGGACTGCTATAAGACTGAAGACAGCTCAAACACCACAGTGAGGCCCTGTTTCAAAAACACAAAGAAATGAACCCAACTTTATCCTACTTTTAAGTTACTAAATTTTTGCTCATTTGAAAATGGCTTCTGACGTATTTACACCTTTAGTTGTAAAGGTACAAGGCTGATCAAAATCTACAGTGAGTGCTTAAATTGTTCTTGCTATTGTTTGGTTGTTTATTTATTTTTGGTCTTTTGAGACAAAGTCTCACTGCACAGTTTAGTGACCTCAAACTCACTCTGTAGTCTAGGCTGGCCTCAAATGTGCAGCAATCCTCCTGTCTTAGCCTCCCGGTTACTGGAATTACAGGCGTGTGCCACCACACCTGGCTCTTGCTACTTTTAAAAGAAATTCTGGAAGTCCACTTTTGCATGGTGAAGTGTGATAGGGGAAAAAAAAGATCTGCCCTCTGCTACCAAGTGCCCCCCAACAGAAAGGCAGGCTGGTAGAACAGTATAATGTACCCTTGTCCAACTTGTTCATTGGACCTGGCACTGTGTGACTTTCGGGTGTTCCCAGAGTCAAAATGACCTCCAAAGGGGTAAGTTCTGAAGTGATTCAGGACATCAAGTCAGCTATAGAGAGGAGGACTTCCAGAACCGCTTCAAGTGGTGGCAAGAACACGGGATGAGCCTGCTTGAAGGCAAGGTACTTCGGTTAAACGGTCACCGTATTTTTTACACTGGATATTTGTCTGCCGTGGATGCAGGATGCACTACTGGAGACAAGACAGATTTCGTTCACTCCTCTCTCCCCAAGTCACAGAGGGAAGATTTACAGGGCATTACAACACAGTTGTGGAGAGCAGCTGGCTGACCAGGCACTCTCCAGCTCCGACACCTCAGTGGGTGAGAGAGAGAATGGGCTCACCATGTTTTCATCCACTTTGTTCTTACTGTTAATCAGTTTCTCTTCCGCACCAATCAGTCCTCGGTCCTGCTCTCCCACTCCTGACCCTGTGTGGAGACAGATCACAGCTGAGTGTCCAGGCTGCTTCCCTCTGGGGATCTCACAGAAGCAGCAGGCTCCTGCCGAGGGCTGCAGCCCTCACCACGCACCTCCCCACAACTCAGGACAGCGCTGTGTTCCCGTGGCCTGAGGCTGCACTGTGCTCTACCCCAGGGTGAATGAGACAGGCACTGGGGGAGGACTGGTGGGCGTGATGGAGTGGGGGAGTGCTTGCTCTTCTCCTACCTGGAGAAATGGGATGCATGCCTCTGAGTGAATGCTCTGGGGAAGGGAGACAGCACCTGAGCCCAAGGGCGCTCTAACACGGAGAACACGCAGCGCCCTCCCCAGGTCGCCTTGCTGGGCACCTGGGTCCTCTGGTGTCACCCAGCACAGATCTGCCTGTTAGCTGTGAGCTTGAGTTCACTCTTTCTGTGAATACTATACTCCCTGTCCTCAAGCCCTATTTTCCCTGTCAGAGCTTCACTTCTTCATGGGAGGCCCTCAGTCTGAAGCTCTTATAATTAGTTTACAATTCTCAGCCTCCTTCTTCTGCATCTCCCACTGGGCTGCAGGTATAGCACTGAGCAGATCGCAGACAGGCGCGCCCTCATGGGTTAGTACAGCAAAAACAGGACAAAGCGTTTCATCAGCAGGGCCAATCCTAACGCCAGGACAGAAGGCTCCTTTCCCTCTTCCTCAGGAAGAAGATCAGCTCCCCTCTTTCCGAGATCAGACCAGAGCTATCTGCACTGCACTTGGACTGACAGCATCCAAATATGGGGGAGGCTGAACCCCGCAGAGACAATCCCTTGTGTTCTCAGCTCCTGAGGATGTGACTTCTAGCTACCCTGAGCTTCTCTGCAGTAACATATGCAGGCCACACATCTGTGCTTGAGACCTGTCATAAACAGGCAGACCAAGCTGACGGCATACACAGCATGCTAAGCTAACGACCTGCATGCACACCCTAAATGAGTTTCCACACAGCACTGCTGTCCGAGCTCATCAGAAGCAGCAGGGACTGCAGGACCCGTCTGGCAGAGCCGTCCAGGTCACATCCAGCCCACTCCTCACTATGGGGCAATAGGAACGATTCTCAGCCCAGGCAGCGGCTCAGGCTGCTTCACTGACACATCGTCACACAGCAAATGTGATTTTTTCTAAGCCTTTCATTTGAAAAAGACTTGAATGACTTGATTAAGTCAAGTCAGAGTTGGTTTTTGCAGCCTTAAAATGCCAGTGAAAACAGCAGCACTGCACTCCTGCTTCTGAGAAAGACGACTCTGGAAGTGTTGCCACAGCAAGGATGCTGCTATGAGCAAATCCAGTAAGTTCTAATTCTATGTTCCTTCCGTATTTTCTTTTTGTCAGAATTTTAGAGGTCCTAAGGACAATATCCTACTTAGAAGCTGATGTGGCACGAACCAAGTCACTCAAAGGCCTGTTACCAATACAGATATTTTAATCCTCCTTTTCTGGTAGAATAAACCTTTTTCTTTGTTTTCTAAGACAGGGTCTGATCTCACTAGTGGCCCAGGCTGGCAACTTGAGGTGACCCTCCTTCCTCAGCTCCTGAGTCTGGGATCATAGGCATCACAGGTGCGAACCAGCACACCAAGCTCTTACTGGTTTTTTTGGTCAATATCCAAACCATTTAGCAGCAGGTATGGTGGCGCTCAACTATAGCCCCACCACTCAGGAAGCTGAGGCAGGAGAACTGCTGGGAGTCCAAGGACAGCCTGTGCTACACAGCAAGACCCTGTCTCAAAAAAACAAAACAAAACAAAACAAAACCACAGAAACCATTTGGCTTATAAAAATGCATAATAAGCAACTTAAAGAGACCACAAGTTAATGGTTAAGCTTGTCCCGACTCCGCAACAGTTTACAAAAGGAAAAGCCAAGTTAATTTCGAGCAGTCTCATTCTTGTGTGTAGGCACCAGACGTGCTGCTGAGAGGAATGGCAGCACCATGGTGTCTGAGGTGAGGCGCACTCAGCACCTCCACACTCTGAGGTGAGCAGTGGCACAGACGGAAACCCCAGTTCCGTGTCGGGGAAACTGCCTGGCCTGTCCATAGTCAGTCTCCAAAGCCAAGAGTAAGCCCCTAACACACACTGAGGACAGGAAGAGCTTGGGCTCCACAGCTCAGACTCGAGAGGGGACTGTCCACATGGCTAGGGGTCAGCAGCTGACCCTGCCATTCAGGTGACAGAAACCACATGGGCTTCAAGGACAGTGTCCCCCCAGAAATGCAGACTGGACACGTCACGCAGCTGCAGAGGGTTGTTCAACAGACTCATCCATAAAGCTGAGCCGAGAATCCCTCCCCAACCGTAAATTCAGTAGGTTCAGTGAACCTCACACAGGGACTCAGGACTGTGCTTTCCACGCTGTGCACCATCTTTGAAAGTTGGGGACTTGCTATACCAAGCCTTCACTTGTTGCTACCTGTCTCATCATCAGCTTCTCAAGTTTGCTACAACTCGGGGAACACGGACAAGTGGCACACACACAGCAGAGACAGCTAGAAAGAAAGGGGAAGAAGGTAAGTGGGAAAATTAGAGAGAACGATGACCAGAGGCAAAAGATGCACCCTGACTGTCACACACTGTTATTCTACACGCCAGCAAGTCACAAACAAATTGTGTAAGTTTCCTAAATCCAAGAAGGATTTAGCAAAGCATCTATGAAAGTTACTGTGCATTTTCTGGACAGCTAGAAAGAAAGCTCCAGGTGTCCGGACAGCCGGGGCACCTGTGCCCAGCACAGCCATGGCTGGAGGGGTGAGGTGGGAGTCAGGCGATGGCATGACACGGAGAGTGAGACCGCCGACACACGGGAGGTGAGGGGATGGAGGGCTTTGACAAACCAACCTTTCTTCACTGGGTGGAACAACTCCGGCGGAGTGTCTAGCAGAAAGGAAAACAATAAAAAACAAAATAGCACAAAAGGAGATTAAGAAAGAAAATGGCTTCTTTCAAATTCCTGTCTTAGAATTTCTCTAAAATGTGAGTGAGAGGCATTTTTATTTAAAAATCATGCCTGACATATCTCATAAGCAATCCAGAAGTTAAGATCCACAGCAAACTACTGGAAAGCATCACTGACGAGAGAACCACCGTGTTACTTGGGCCTTTTAAGGGAAATCATGGGAGACTGCAAAATTATTTACCTTACTTTATTTTCTTAGAAAACGGAGAAAAAAAAAAACAAAAAAAAAACCCTGACGTTATAGCTGATTGTGGTTTACTGACCTGGAGTCCAGGCCCTGGATATGAGCTACGGCTACACTCAAGATGCTCCAACTCCCAATGAGCACAGAGAGGCCAACCCATGTGACTGTGCTACAGCCCAGAGGCCCTGGGAGCTGTCAAATCATTCGCCTGGGTGCTTTCTCATCCCTGCTTCAGGGCCTCTGGGACAGCTGGCCCAGGAGGCGTTTCTATCAAGGTCTGAAGGCTAAGCTGGACGCCTGTCTGTCTGAGCAGTCTGTGGTCAGGGGTACGAGACTGCACCCCTGGGACAACAGGTCCTGTCAAATCCTCACTCTCCACCTCCAGGGGACAGGGAAGTATCTGCACTGTTTAAATCTCAGGATCCCCAATGGGGACCCTCCCGGGATCCACCCTAGAGGACTACTCTCAGGACTGAGTGGAAGCTGCTGAAACAAATGCTTAACTAAAGCTGGCAAATCCTCAGCACACCCTCGACGTGGGCCACTTTTATCACTGCCATTGCCATTTAAGGCAGCAGGAAACAGAATCTGAGTGAGCACACTGGATTTAAGATTCTGGTCTGTGAAATATGTTTACTTCTGGTGCAAACTCATCCCTTTCAGAGATCTCTTCAATCAACAAGAAACAGCAAGAGAAAGATGGAGGAAGGCAGGCCCACCTAGGTCTCAGAGGACACGGCTTCCCAGCCAGCCACGTCAGAGGTGTGACCTTCAGCCAGTCTGGGTGCCTCAGCAGACCCTACCTCCCAAAACTGCCGCAAAAAAATGACCCCTTATGTAACCTGAGGGTGCTGTTTCACCTGCAAAGTGACTCCTGCATGAAAGAAGCACCACGGGAGCAGGAGGCGCAGCAGGCTGGAGGCGTAGAGAAGCCAGCTAGCAGGCAGGACCAGCTCAGCGCTCACACACAGCAGTGCTTAAGGAGCCCCCCGTCCCTTTTCCTTGCTTCTCACCAGGAATACAAGCAACAGACCCCTCAGTGTCCTAACTGCGCCATCCCTGGCCCACTGTGAAGGGTTATGTGAGGACCGTACACACCTTCATTCTCAGGCAAGGGTGGGAAGGGGTGGAAAGAGTGGAACGGCGGGAACTCTTCGCTCTCCTCAGAGCTCACCCGGACATCCACGGGGCTTTCGGAGATGGAGGCGGTAAACTGATCCATGTCTGCTCGCTGCTCCTGAAGGAGTTCATCTGAGGAGGACACAGGCAGGAGACAGAAACACAATTTTCAGAACACTAATGTGTCACCGAGGACCACATCTCCTGCGAAAGGCTCACTTTTATCCTGCAGGTGCTCAAGGTCTGCCCCATCAGTCTGCAACCCAGGTGTCCTCTGTGCCCCTGCCCCCAACACCAAACACCTCCTATGAACTCTACAATACCAGGAAACCTGGGGTGACTCCCAAACCCTCTCTCCCCAAGTTTCCACATGCTCCAATGCCAGTTTTGGATTTTAAAAAATTGCACATATTTATGATGTACAGGGTGATGGGGGCTTACTGGGGATCAAATTCACACAGATGCTTATGCCACTAAATCCCCAGGCCAAAGGTGACGCTCTGACATACATAGAAAAATAACTACTAGCCATGCACATTAAATACCCATCACCTTCCACAGTCACTCTTCCTGGTAAGAATACTGAAAACCTATTTTCCGAGCAAACTTTCAGCATACAATATAAATATTCTTTGAGACAGGGTCTTGCTATATAGCTTAGGATAGACTTGCATTCACTAGGCATCTCAGGCTGGCCTTGAACTTGTAGTGAACCTCCTGCCTCGGTCTCCTAGTGCTGGGATGACAGGAGTGCTCACCACACCCAGCCGCTCACGATGTGTGTTTGCTTTCCAGGCCCCCTCACTCTAAGCAGCTGCTGTCTCCTGCTCTTTGGCCTACCGCTCCCATGTCTATTGGAAAAGCTCTCCGCATACAGTGATTCCCATTTCCTAACCTGTAGTTACCGGAGCTCTGACCTCCACTTTCACCTCTAGCAGTGCCTCTGGTCTGAAGCCACACAGGTGGCAGGGGCACTGGCGTGGTTGCCCTCCCCCTCTCCACATACGCATCTCTCCCCAGGGGCACACTTCACAGATTCCCTCTCTCACCATGGCCGCCACAATGCACTACTGCAGTCTGGCTCCTGGATTTTCATCACCTCTTCTGGGTTGGTCTTTAATTTTAATCAGTTCTCCCCATAGCAGCCAAGAGGTTCTTTCATGTTCAGACCCACAATCCAGAACCCGCTAGGGCAACAACAACCTGCCCTGCCACCATGGTCACCACCAGAACCCCTTGATCCGTGTGTGGTCATTTTCCTATCAGTTTCTCTCACACTGTGAACTCCACTGGTGCACTACTTTATTCTGGGACACAACAAAACTTGAAGAGGACAAAGAATAGGAGGCTGCTGGAATCTGTGTTACACACAGTGCCTTGGATACATCAGTAATTAAAGAGAAAATGGTTTTTTTTTTTTTTTTTTTTGGTCTTTTTCCTTTTTATCGGTACCAGGGACCAAATGCACGACTGCCTGCTTGCAAGGCAGGAGCTTATGCCGCTGAGCTAAATCCCCAGCCCTTAAAGGGAAAATGTTAACAGGAAGCTTCTCAGCCCTTGTAATTCACACCCTGGATTTTCTTCCACTAACAAGAGTGAAGGTCAAGGAACCCCCAGGCTGTGTGGCTTCCGATCAGTCTGGCTGTCCTTAGGAACACCTGGACCTCACCATATGAGCTTCTGCCAATTCCAGATCTCAGCAGCCACAGCATGCTTGGCCAGACCTTGTGAGCCCTGCTTGTTCTGGTTTTCTCCTCCCGCCCAACCATGCCACCTGAGCCTCAGCAAAAAGGAACCTAGCACCTACCGATTTCTGCTTGAATTTCCTGGGCTACATAAGGGACTTTGTAGAGCAGAGAAAGACTCTGGTTCCTCCTTTCTTCGATCACATGGAGATGTGTCATGACCTGGAAGCACAGTGAGGGGCGAGAAGTCTCATCACCCAGGACCACCAGCTAGGAGGGAATGCCTTCAGAAGGTGAAGGTGAAGGTGAATGCATCCCCTTACAGAGTCCAGCAGAGCAGCTGGCCAGAGCAGAGGTGTTAATCCCGAAGCCCTGTTTACCCAGTACACGCTCAGCTTCAGACAGGGACCCAAGGCAGAGGAAAACTTTCTTTTTTTTTGTGATACCAAGGTCTTGTGCATGCTAGACAAGTACTCTACACTGAGCTATATCCTTAATCCCCAGGAAAAAACTTTATTTTAAACAATGTTTACTATCTAGTTTTGAGTCTGATTTTTACAGGAGGCACTTACTACTGACCACACTGAGCTAAAGAACCCTTATTTATATAATGCTGGGTGTTCAAGTCACTTTGCTGAGTGAAAGTGTCGAAAATGTCAGTAATTGTGGCAAAAGAGACTGAACTCACTGGTGAAAAAGTAGAGCATGTGGAAAGCAGACCACTTAAGGCTTTTGTTTAATGAAAAAATGGCTTATAATGATTACTATGGTGAACAACAGAACTAATTAAGTCCTACTTAACTAAGTTACTGTTCTTTAAAAATTAACGCTGAGGTATAAATAAACCGCAAGGTGACCTGGGCTAACATCCACCCAAGGCCAGAGAAGGCCAGAGAAGGCCAGCGAAGCCCACTGCCGCCTGGTCAGACATGCAGTTCCCCAGCTCTGCCTAGAGAGGGAGCTCGAGGCCAGCGGATTCATCATGTGAGCTTAAAGCCATGAAAACAAAGGGTCAACATGAAAGAAAAAGATAAATGTAAAGACGCTTTTATTGCAGACTGATGTGTCTCTGACCTTTAAAAGCAAGAATGAAAGCAATTTAATTTTAGATTTGCCACTCCGCCAATCAAGCAAATTGCTGAGAAAGCACAAGAGTACGTCTGGGGAGACATAAATGGTGAGTGCGTGTACAACCCATTCTCAGCCAGTGTTACAACCTCACATGTGCTTCCCCAGAGTCACAGGGAGTCGTCTCAAAGAGGCTGGTTCATGCCTCAGAGAAGGGAAGGAACCACAGGACAGAACCCTGGACATTGGTGTTGCCATAGTAGTCCTAAGACAAATGGCAAGGAGCACATCACATATTTCAACCAGCAAGATACAGCTGAAGTTCTGCAGGCTGACTATCTCTAATTTGCAAATCCAAAATCAGAAATGCTCTAAAATCCCAAACATTTTGAGCACTGACATGATGCTACTAAGTGAAAAACTAAGTGAAAGTCAGTCAAAATACCTACACAAAATTGCTTTCAGGCTACAGGTAGAAGGTACGTATGAAACATAAATGTTTCATGTTTATAGACTTGGGTTCCATCCCAGGACAGCTCATTATGTACAATGGCAAATATTCTAAAATCTGAACAAAATCCAAAATCAGGTATTTGTCTGGTTCTAGTCCAGGCATTCAGATAAGGGTAAGGCTGAATATCATCCTGGGTTCTTCTAGAGCTCAGATAATGGAAGGTTAATGTAACTCAGTGGCCATGCTGTGCTGGAATTATGGGCTGACAGCTGATATAGAAAGGACCAGGAGACAAGTCAGGCGTGATAGTGCACACCTGTAATCCCAGCACTGGGGAGGCCAAAGCGGGAGGATCCTCACAAGATTGAGAACAGGCTGAACTACATGGTGAGAATGTGTCTCAACACATAATTTAATTAGATGAACTCATGAAAGCGCTGGAGAGCTGGCTCTCAGAGACTCTCTGGGGGGGACGGTGGTCTCACTGTGCGTGGGATGGTGGTCTGACTCTGTGGGACCGTCTGGGAAGCTGAGATACTGACTGGCATCTTCCTTTCTATCCTGACCGCACAAAACAGGATACTTTCCTGTAAAGTATAATACAGTATCTAATATTTCACCAAAAAGTTTGGAAAACAATTAAGTTTATTTAAAAACAGAGCAGACTTCAGAAGGATGCATTTTCCCAGCCTTCCGCTGAAGTCTTCCAAGACTCTAGGCCCTTTTCTTTTACTCCATCTGGGTGAAAACAGCCCCTTTTTAAATTTTTATTTTGAGCCTGGGTCTCCCTCAATTGCCCAGGCTTGCCTAGGTTTTCTGAGTAGCTGGGATTAAAGGTGCCTGCCATCACATCTCACTAAACGTCTAACTTCTAGTGTGAACCACTCTGGGCATTTATGGATAATTATCCTCCATCTTTATAGTTTACAGAGTTAATCTCATACTAGCTTGTTGAGCTGCTCAAGAGTACCCAATTCTGTAGCATCAGATGCTACAGTGGAATCTGCCAGGTAAGTGGACACACATAAATTCCTCTGTGCAACAAATGGAGCAGAACTCAGCTGTCTATTATTCCAAAACCTTAAGAGACAGATTATTTGCACAAGTCTTGTGCTCTGGGTGAATGGTTTTGGGGTGACAATGTGCAATATATGTACCATTGTTGCTCCCTGATTGACATGTTTTGAAATTTTTTTTTTCTCCTTGAAATAAAATGGATTTGGGGAAGAAAAAAAAAAAGAATATCATCACCACAGCATATACAAGAAATGGGAAGAAGAATCTCTAAGATGATGAGCAATGACCAACAGTGTATTCTGCATGTGCTGGTATTTTTTTTTTTTTTTTTTTTTTTTTTTTTGTGCTGGTATTTTCAATCACACGGCATTATATTCACAATATGGAAAGCAATCAAATAAAATCATTGATGTTACTACAAGGCCCTCAAGATAAACTAACAGGCAGAGCTACCAGGCTCCGGATTAAAAAGAAAGCTAGCAGCCTCACAGGTAAATTCATTCTCTAGGAATACATGGAAAAAGTAAAACTCAAGTCAATACATGGACAACAGCAAAATGACAGAGGAATCAGAAATCAGCGTCTACAGATGACTATAAAGTAAAGCTAGGTGCAGCATGGGACAAACCCAGGAGTGAAAACGGAAAAGCATCTAAGTAAAAGCTACAGTGCACAACACAAACAGAGAAACCCTTTCTTTTGGGGGAGGTGGCAGCACTAGGGCCCAGGAACATGCGAGACAAGTGATCAACCTCTGAGTCTGAGCAACACTGTCAGCTAGTGACCGACTTTTACTATCTGCTTAAAGATTTTTTCTGCTTAGTAGAGTGTCTCCAACATTGATTCTGGTGGTAAGAGAAATAAACTTACATAAAAATTGGTATAGAAATTGGCTGATCTCTTCACCATAATCCTTGTTTTTAAACCTTTAAAAACTGTTAAGCACAAAGTGGTTAATATAAAGTATGGAAAAGATGTCTATCACACTGCAAAAGCCAATTCAAGTGCCAAATGTCTCTGGAAATCAAAAAATCACTTCTAAAGACTAGGAAAAGAAACACAGCCAGCAAAGCTGTGCCCTTTATCAGTCCTTTCCCCCAAACCCCCAAGGCGTGACTCCTCACCAGCATACCTGGGATTTCATCTGGGCGGCCTTCTCTGGGTCAACAGCCAGCACATGCTGGTAATGGCGAATGGTGTGCAGGCGATCTTTGTTCTCGGCACGGACGTAGCGCCGCAAGGCCTGGAGGATGCGATGAGGCTGTGGGGAAACTGATTTTAATACTCACAGACTGGACCTCAAAACAGGCAGAAAAACAAAAGCTGAAAAGTTCACTTAAAAATGGGAAGCTTGGGGTGCGGTACAAGAATGGAACCTTTCTACCTAAAACACTGAACACTGAGCCCCAGCATGGAATCGGCTCCTAAAACAGTACTGCTTCAGTCTCCAGCTCACCGCCTCCTTGACCCGTCCCTTTCCTGGCTGGGTGTCTGATACCCAGCTGCCGGTGCCTTGGGTCACCCGAAAAGCAAAGGCCATGCTAGCGTACACAAGGACACAGGATACACCCATCCTCCTTTCCCACAGTCCTTGCCCCCTAGGGGAAGGCAGGATAGTAAGAGGTTAAAAAGTGGTCTCCACTTGCATACATTTCAGTATAAAGTACTTTATCCTCTTCTCCATAATCTTACTTCAGAGGGAAGTGTTTGGAAAGCCTCATTCACCGAAGGCAAGCTCCCACACACCCTGTACTGTACAGCTCCCTATCCACGCCTTGCAGTTAGGTTTCTCTAGTATAAAGTGTTTGCATGTCACAGGGTGGTGTTTGTGGCATAGTTAAGCGAGCTTATATACACAGGTCTCAAACATAATGCTTTTCCTTTCCAAATGCTTCCTACAACTTTGTAAAAACTTGTCCTAAAAGCACAGTTTTCACCCGCCTGCACCCCACACACGGATGCTGCACGGGTACCACGGGGTGGGGGTGGGGGGTACTGAGCAGACCGACACCCGGCTCACCCGAGGCGGGTCGGACTGCAGGGCGGCCAGGTAGTTCTCCAGAGCCATCCGCCGGCGGTCGTTCAGCATGGCTTCCACGCGAGCCAGGTGGGTTTCCACAAGCTGCTGCTTCTCACTGGCTGCTTCCTTCTCCAAGGCTTTAACCATAGCTTGGAAGTGCTAAAGCAAGAGCAGAGGAACACCACACATGTGGGACGCCTGGGGGAGGCCTGAGCAACAGTTCCAGACTCCAGCGCTTCTCCTCACCCAGCAGCCAGGCAGGCAGGTGCAGAGGGCAGCACCGAGAGCCCCACATCCGCAATGCCTGCCTGCCTGCCTGCCTGCCTGCCTGCCTGCCTGCCTGCCACTGGAACATGTCCCCACCTAAAAAGCAAGTCAGATCTCCTGTGTCAGAGACGCCCTAAGCACCTCTGTAAATGAAATTAATAGTGCCATAGGCTCAGTGCCTGCTTTTTCAATGTGCGCCTCAGTAAAAACCTGTCTTTTCCACATACAGCAAGGTGCTGACTTTTCCCAATGGTGAAACCAAGGACCAGTAGGAAGTAACCAATGAACTATAATCCAACAATAACCTAAGTTATGTTGAATCATGCTTATTAAAGCTGTGAAGGGCAAGTTATCCATAAGCTACTGGAGCCAGGCTTACAGGCACTGATTGAGGCTGTCGAATTAAATCCCACTGTGTAAGACACACTGGCTTCTATAGGAATGAATACAGAAGATTTTCAGGGTGACTGATAAAAAAAGCAAAGGTCTTCTGGAAGAGACTCACCATCACAAGATGAAGGAATCAGCTAAAAGTAAACATCAGGAGCTGAGGATGTAGCTCTGTGGTACAGCATGTGCTTGGCACACCTGAGGCCCTGGGTTCACACCTCAGAACCCCAAAATACAAACAAAACAGTTTTCCCAAACTAAGCACACCTTCTAAATTGGTACCAATAGCAACTCTCTTCTACTGAAGGAGAATGAAGTTTGTTGCCATTTTAAGGTTATACTTCTACAAAGTTAGAGATGAAACTGTATTAAAAACATTTCTTTTTCTGCCTTTTGACTTTTCAGTTAGTCTACCTCCCCATCAAGTGCTTCTGATAAACAAGCCACATCCCAAGAATGAAGGTGGCAGAGGACTTTTGTCAATGAAACAAAATTACCAAATGGCAGCTGAGCTAAAGTTACTTCTTGGCGAGAATTAGGTATGCACGGGGAGGGAGTTTGGTTTCCTTCTATCATAAGCAAGCAATGCTAGAGGTGAAAAAGAAAACAGCTTCCCTGCAATTTAAGCCACTGCCTAAGAAGAGGTATCAAATTCATACTTCCTGGGAGTCTGATTCTGAACATACTTATTTTCTGGCCACGCTGCACACTTTGTTCCTGGAGAAAGCATCTTACCTGAATGAGGGTCTGCCGCTCTGCTTTGGGGAGGTTCTTGGCTTGAAGTTCTGCCTCTTCCCATTCCTTCTTTACCTGGAACCAAGGTCAAAACATCAGGGAATAATCCTCTCAAACCACTTCCGTACTTTCTAAAAATACTTCCAGGCACTGAACCCAGAGTCAGAAACAGGCAGAAAGAAACTGTATCTGCATCTCATGATCCCTTCTCAGCCCAGCAGCCACCGCCCAGGAAGGTTCTAGGCCTTAGTGAGGACCAGGTAGAGGCTCAATTCCATGACCTCCTTATTATCCAACCTTGGGCAAGTTATTTCAGTCTATGCCTTAATCTCCTTATCAAAACACAGAGGTCAGCAGCTATTTCTCAGGTGAGATATGGAAAAATAAAACCAGCCTTTTGGCATTTCGATGGTGTTAGGGTGGAGCCCAGGCCTCCAGAGGTCCTTCGGCCCTGAGCAAGCCCTGGAGGAAGCAGGTTTCTGCAGAATTCGTTCAATTCATTCAGAGCCTTTTCCTTATAACAATATCTGGCTATAATACACTAAAACATTTGTCTCCATCTATTTTTTTCAGTTAACTAGTTGTCTATTTGGGATAAAAACAGTTCCTGGCTGGGGGTTTAGCTCAGTGGCTAAGTGCCTGCTTGGCAAACTCGAGGTCACAGGTTCAATCCCTGGTACAAAAAAAACAAACAAAACCTAGTTCCTGGCTTTAAAAAAATTTGTTGAAGTCAGTGATGACCAAGAAAAGTAGTAAGCAATTAACAGTTACGGGAAATGCATGGCAGAGTCTGCAGCAAAATTTTCATGGAGACAGGATATGGGGGAGGACTTCCCATGATGGCTTCAAACTAAGGCAATCCCCCTGCCTCAGCCTCCTGAGTGTTGGGATTACAGGAGTGCACCACTGTGCTCAGCAGTATCACTTTCTCAACTATAAAATGCAGGCTACAGATTGCTCACCGAGCATGTGTGCGAGGCCCTAGGTTCCAGACCCCACATCACAAAAGAATAAAATAAAGCTACCCAGTACCAAGCACATTAAGATGAAGAGGTTTACCCTGTCCATCCGGTTTCGGTGTCGAATTTCTAGCTGCTCCTTAGCCTTCTGGAACCTCGCATGTTCGTTGTCATCTGCAGCAGTCTCGAAATACACATCAACATCATTGGTTGGCAGGGGAGTCGGGGGAACTGAAACAAAATTAACAAAGCTGTCTTCCTGGGGCTCAGGCGCACTATTAAAACCAGGCTCAGGATCTGCAGGGTGGGTCCCAGCTGTCTCCTGGCTGGCTAAGAAGTGCTGCCATCTGCCAAGACATCACTCTGGGAGACCACACGCATGGGCCTCTCCTTCACTAGCAGTCATCAACCTCACAGCCCATGCTAGCACAGCAATCTGTGGGTGGCTCTGCCCTAAGGACACTAGCACTGCAGGTTAGAAAAGGAGACAGCTGCTTTTCCAGCCTCCCTTCCGGGCTTTTTAACCTGAAAAACTGCAATCTTCCTGCTCATCACTCCTGGCATCCCAACAGGAACCAAGGCTGAAATCAGACCGTCTAGAGTCAATGTTACATGTCTGTTTTTAAGGAACTTATGACTCAGTCCCTTCCTCTCTTCTGTTACCTTTAGGTCTTATTTTGAAAGTTCTTTGTACAGATGCTGGATAAAGAAAGTCCAACTAGTCAAGCTCTGAGTTTTTAGCATCACTGACAGACTTTTACACTCACCTCTGAGACAGGGATACTGGGGATTAAAAAAAAATTCAGCTTCTGTATCTGAAAAGGCTACTTTCCACAGATACAAGGACACCCTGGGCCTGAGGCCCACTAGAAGGACACCTCTCACCTCACTGTGTCAGTGCAAGCGCCTAGTGGCCCTGGCAGATGGTAAGGACCAGGTTTACCTAAAGCAAGCTTTGAAGACACAGCTGTGGGAATGCTACTCACGTTCAATACACGGGTGAGATTTCCCAGACTGGGGGATAAAAAAGAAAATGCCAAAATCCAACTAACTTTTAAGAAACCAGGCACACCTCCCTTCAACCCCAAGAGGCCACTTCACAGACCACCACTCCAGAGGGGCACAGAGCTCCACTGCCACTGGAAGGTCTCTAAAAGGCCCAACTCGTCACACTTCAGAAACAAATTCACTTGTTTCCATTACTATGTAATTTTAATTCATTAAAACAATCATAGCTACAGCTACAAATCAGCCAGTGCTTTAAAGTTTGTCAGAGAAATCTTTTCTCTGCTCCCTTTGACTTTATATATAAAGTCTTGTGAAGAATATAAGAGTTGTATATGTTCCAAACAGATCTTAACCTCCAACTTTCAGGCTACGTTAGAGGTACACTGCTTTAGGAACCACAATCCCCAAGAAATGCCACATCCAGAGAGGGAGAACTGCATAGCCACGCATGCCCAGGTGCACAGGACCACCCTGACACTCGTTAGCAGGCCAAGGCCTAGGCCCTGTGGATGGGTCCTGGCACTACATAGGGTGGTAAAAACTGTGCAAAATACAGACGCCTCTATGCTCTCCAAGAGCAACCGACAGCACAGCCCGAGGCCTACTCCAAAACGCTGGGGCAACTCCCGACAGGCTCTGACAGCCCGCACACACTCACCTTAGCCCACTCCAGGAGAAGCACGAAGGCCATTGCAGACAGCCTGCTGCAGGCACCAGCAGTGCCCTCCCAGGCACACCTCCCTTCAACCCCAAGAGGCCACTTCACAGACCACCACTCCAGAGGGGCACAGAGCTCCACTGCCGCTGGAAGGTCTCTAAAAGGCCCAGCTTGTCACACTTCAACCCAAACAGCGTTTGCTGACTGGGCTTAGTTTAGCGTTGGAGCAGCTCTACACAGTGGTACCCATCACGGCAGTAATCTCTCCTGAATAAACAAAGTCTATGCACCCGAAGTCCCCTGTGCGCCCTTGCACCTCCACCACTGTAGCTCCCACACCACCCTGTCTCCCTGTGCACCGACGGAGGGGAGGAAGGGCAGGATGCCATTAGATTAGGACTGAAACTTTCTTCTAGAGGAGGAAGAAAGACGGAAGGTGAATGCATTTGAATGAAAAACCATCAGGGGCTGTAGCCAAAAACCTCTAGACCAAGTATCAGCAACAGGCAGCAACTTGTTACTCTAATGAACTTCTGAGAGGAACCAAGGCAAACTGGGGAGGATTTCCCCAGCCCAGCAGGGCAGAGAGCCAGGGGCCTAACAAAAGCCAGTGACTGTGGACTATGGAGGAAAGGGGCACTTTTCCACTGATAGCTAATAAAATCTTCCTGACCAAAATACCACACAAACTCAAACTCCTTCGCAGCCCTGCAGGGCCCAGCGCTGGCAAAACACCGGAGCAACAGCCGGCGACCGGCTGCGGCGCTCTCACTGCAGTGCACAAAGCAAAGGATTTCACACCGGACTCATGAAAAATCCCCACTGTCACTTCTGTTCAGAGTGGGGGTCCAGCAGGCGGCACACGTCCCAGGGGTCACTGACAGGGCAGTTCAGGTGGGAAGGGAAGCCGGGACACAGGCCCGAGCGGGTCTCAGGGCCACGCACTGCCCTGCTGCCCTCCAACCAGAGCCAGCTGAGGGAACCGCGGCGGCCAGACCAGCCCCAAGCACCTCGGAGCCTGCGGGCTCCAAGGCCGGCTGAAGCAGAACAAGCCCCGGGGTGTGCCACCTGCTGCCCCAGGGAGGGGACACACCACCACCAGTCACCAGCAGACACACGGGGAGCACGAGACACGCGAGACTGAGCTGACAGCCGTCCATGGAAAAGCAAAGCCTCGATCCTGAAGGCACAAAGACAGGGAGAACGAGTGACAGCCCACACCTGAGTCGGCAGAAACACGACACAGATGTGGTCACGAGGACGGCTGGGAGACAGCACGCCGGACAGGACAGAGCTGCTGCACAGGGCCAGCGCGAGGCGGGACTTACTCATCGCTTTACACACAGCCAAACAATAATCCTCAGACTCAAAATTGTTCCTGTTGCCGCCGCAGCCGCCATATATAAAGCGCACGCACTTTCCCTTGGAGAGGTCGAAGTACCAACGAGGCATCACGGCCCGGCAGGGCCCCGTCATCGCCTCCTGGGAGCAGACAGCTGTGTGAAAATGGTCAGAGCGTCAGCAGGACAGAGCAGCGCTTCCAATGCTTCACAGTGCTATCGGCCGGCCAGGGCAGGGAGGGTCAGGACGGGGTGTGGAGGGGACAACGGCATGGATGGTCCTGGTCAACCTACTGACCAGCACAGGCAGGCATCTGTGCATGGTTCATGTTATGAAGACATTTAGAAAGAGGTGTTTGTTTTTTAGATTGACACAAGAGCTGACATAGAGGAGGAATTCCTGTCAGTGGAGACACTGTTTATTTTGGTGGTTCCAAGGACCTGAGGAGTCCGTGCAGGCGGAGAGGCTACTGTTTTAAACAGTGACACCAATAGCCAAGACTAAAGCACCTAGAAAAGGCAAGCATGCCAATTTTCATGTTCTCCAAAATGAACCACAAATTTCTAGATTAGTTAAGTAATTTTCTCTCTGGTGGGTCATAAATAATGTTTCTTCCCCTTACTTGGCTCCAAATAAACAATCAGCAGCAGCTATGGGTAAATGGCTCTAGAACGATCACCACCTCTCCTTTCTTTGGACTGGTAAGGTCGATTTTACCCTACCAGCTATACACGTTAGTCAGTACAGGGAGGGCAGCCCACAGCCCGGGGTCAAAGCCATCCCACCCCGAGAAGCTGGGCTCTAAGCAGGACTGGACAGAGTGGGAGACTGGGAGGCTTGCTGTGGAGGAATTGTGTGGCCAAGCAGACTGTGTGATCTCATTCTAGAATGAAAACCTTGCAATGTAAATTCTCACTGGAGCCTGTGCAGCCCCCAGGACGGGCCTGGCCGTTCACCGCCACGAGCTGGAGGACTGGATTCTCCTGCGGCACTCAGACCCCGCCTTCTTTCTTAGACTTACCTGTGACAAGTGGTGAGCGAAACACAAATTCTAAGTCAACAATGACCACTGAGCTTTACACAAGGGTTACCTTTGACATCGCGAGTAGTTTCCTGGTCTGCAACAGCACCAACATGGCTGGGCTCGGTCGGGGTCTCCTCGTTGTAGTCGTCCCCTTTGAAGGAGTCATAGTAATAGTCCCGGTCTTCCACCACTTCCTCCCCTGCCTCCGCATCTGCATCCTCATCCTCATCCACTGCTGCTTCTGTGAAGTCTTCCAAATCTGGTTCAGTAGGAAATTCACTAAAGGACACAATAACAAAAACAGAAAGGTTAGTGCCAAGTCCACTGCAAAAAGCACAAGCATGATTTCCTTTCTCTCCTGAAGCACAGAAACAGAGACAGGAAGAAAGTTCAATTCACATGTAACTGTACCACCAGAGCACTCAGCCCAGCCACGTCAGGAAAAAGAAGAGTTAAGGAACACAGATTGCATTAACCAGCAGAAAGTAACGTGTCCCAGAACAACAGAAAGCCAAAGTCACAGGTACGTCTGTGACCAACTATAGCTAGTATGCAATACAGGCTGAATCAACACCAGCATAAGGGTTACCCTAACCCTAACCCATCGTGCCCAGAAGAGAGGGTCACCTCTAGTGAAGGCTAACAAGCAGGCAAGGTGACTTCAGTGTTCAGGCCAAGTTACCTTTTATAAATATCATAGTCTTCCTCTTCATCCTCATCCTCATCGTCGTCGTCGTCGTCGTCATCCTCATCCTCTTCTTGGTCTTCTTTAGACACGAGAGAGTCGCTAGAGTCACTAAACTTTACCGGAGGGCAGCACACGTACTCAGTGCCATGGAACTGGTCCACGCCGCAGGGCAGTAGCATGCCATAGCTATACAAGGTCATCCCCTGAGTCAGACAGGCCTAAAGGAAATCCACAGCCACATCAGAACCTACTTCACAAAGACTTCCTGGTCCCTAGCTTTATCCAGAAGGAACCTGATCAGATCATTACACCATTCTTTCTTTTACAGACATACAATTTTCAGCCAAAAAGTTACAACACTACAATTCTAAGAAGACTTTGTAAATTTTACTTAACTTGTAACACTGAGCTTAAAACATCAAAAGATCATAATTTGAAAAAAATTAATTAAGCTAAAGGGAGTTTTCCTTATCAACGACAGTTAAAAATGATCAATGTTAGTTTACTGCTGATATAGGGACCACTTCCAACTCTGACCACAAAGGCAACAGACACGGCAAGAAAGGATGCCCTCTCCACTCAGAGAGCAGAGCGGGCGCCGTCTGATCCTGCCTGTGTATGTGCGGAGGCTCAGACTTTCCAGAGTTGGTTATTTCTCCACTGTCCTTAGGGGACCCTCCTGGGGAGCCCTGCACATGGTACCCCTGTTCAGTAGTTCTTAACAGCCTTTTTTTGCTGGGTGGCAGAGTGGTAACCATCTGTCCAATCAAACTCGGGGCCTTAAACACGTGAGGCAGATCCACTACTGAGCTGCACCAGCACCTGAAGGAAGGAACCCCATTTCATGATGCTAAGCATCACACCTGGGGCTCCTGCAAGGTGCTCTACAACTGAGTGGCTCCATAATTGCCTCAGCTTTAGGAGGTATGGTCTGTGCCATACCTTCCTATAAAAACATATACTTCTCTATCAAACACTCCTAATTTATTAGGTACAAGTAATTAAAGAAAATAATTGAAAATCATGGTGAGGCGTGTACTCCAGTGCCACCTGCTCTTCTGATAGATGGGACAACACTGAAACCCCTCCTGCCTGCGCTCTTACCTCTCTGACTTCAGTGTGCCAGTGCTGATGATTCTCGCACACCTCCATCCTCTCTCTGTGGAAAAACTGGCACTTTTCTGGGACTAGCAGAACATCACTTACAAATTCACCCACTAGAAAGAAAAAAATCTGTCAAGCAAATCTGACTATGACTCAAGGTGACAAAGATCCAGCAAGGTGCACAGTGCACGGGGACACCACAGGAGGACACCATTCCACAAGGGCCTCGACAAGGCCAGAAACTCCATGTTTCCTCGGGCATAAGCCCCTGTGGGCACACTGCAGGGTTCCAGCACCACATCGAGGGAACATGAATGGGACCCCACCTGCCTCAGGGACTGTGGAGCTTACACAGCCAGTATTCCACACCTCCTACTTCCCCATGTGGCCCACAGCCATGCTTAGGCAATTAAGACCAGGTGTCCTGCTGAGGTTCAGAGGACCCACACTGTGACTAGTCTCCACCATAGCTGTTTCGGGTAAGGATCATCAATGTATGATCAATTACAAAACGGCAAAGGTGCTTTATCATGGAAAACCAGGCCTAACTTAGAATCTTGGGTAATGGTCAAGCAGGTAGGCGTGGCAGATATTCTAGGAGGAGCATGGCAATTAGCACCTATACAGCACTTCCACCACAATTTATCACCCAAATCTAATCAAAACAATAAAACAAACACAAACTCAGTGATACCTTACACAAGCCCTAAGCCTGGATTCCTAAAAAATTCTGTCTAAAGACTAAAATAAAAAAGACTAGAGAACTGTTCTAGATTGATTGTAATGTGTGATATTCTTTGTAAAAGAAGCCATAAAGGGTATTGTTTAAACACTTTGGAAAATTTCTGAGTGTGGTTAACTATACTGTCATTAAATAAGAAAACAGTCACTACTCTTAGGAAAAACAAATTTAAGTATTTAGAAGGGAAATGTTAAGACATCTCAACTCTCTTTCAAATGGTTTAGCAACCAAAAAAGTATATAACCCACAGAGAGGAGAATCAGACAGACTGGAAAACACAGGTAAAGGATATAGAGGAATTTCCATAATGGCTATTTATTTAGTTCTAAAAATTCAAATCAGCCAGGGGTTTAGCTCAGCAGCACAAGCGCCTGACTAGCAAGTGTGAGGTCATGAGTTCAATCCCCGTTACCAAAAACAAAACAAAAATTCAAAACTAAGCCGGGGGCCAAGGGACACACACAGCTGCCTGCTCACTAAGGGAGGAAGATAGGTTCCTCGGGTTATAGGCTAGAGCAGTACACAGGTGCCCTGAGTGGCACTTACATTTCATATCACTACTAGCACAGAGAGTTTCGGGGCACATAGCCTCCCAAACCCACTGATGTGAAAACAGGATGAAAGCTAGAGGGTTCCGATGCTGCCTCTGAGGACCCTGAAGGCCCTAGGGGAGGGTGCACCTATCTCCACACACCCTGACTTACAGCCAGTGTCTAAAAACGATTAATAGGGCTGGGGATTTAGCTCAGCGGCATAAGCACCTGCCTTGAAAGCAGGCAGATCATGAGTTCGATCCCGGTACCGATTTAAAAAAAAAAAAAAAAGATTAATAGAAAATACAAAATTCTTCTACTGGATAAACAACACTAACTTGATCTAAATAGAAACTAAATTCTGACATTAAATGACAAGTTACCAACTATTTTGTATTTTGTATTAACCAAGCATTTTGTTACTTCATGACAAAAAGCAACAAAAGCATAACTTAAGAGGTTGCATATAGATGATTACCACAATTCAATCTCACCACTGCTATTTATCAGCAGTGATCCCCCAATCGAGTTTTTAACCTTTCTGTACCTCGGTTTCCTTATCTTGTCACTGTGAGGTTTAAGTGGCCTAACCCATACAACCTCTGAAAAGCTAAGAACAGAAACTGATACAACAGTAGGCACTGTGTGTAATTATAGTTCTAACTACTGATGTTCATATTTAAACAAGGCATTTAAAGCTGATTTCAGCTTTAAACAAGGCAAACTACAAAGACTGACTTATTGATTAATTTTAAGACAGGGTCTTGCTAGTTCAGCCTGGCCAGGAACTAGAAGGGATCCTCTTGCCTCAGCTTCTCAAGTGCTTGGATTACAGCTGTGGGCCACCTCACCTGGCATGAATTTAATTCCTTCCTTGATTCTGGTTGCAAACTGAACCGGATAAGAACTTAAATCAAGTTTCCCCATAATGTCAATGTTAAGCCTAAGCACTGAATCTGATTACATTCTCATCCAATTCTATTTGCGACCAGAATTATGGGAAGAATTAAGTTTGTAGGGGCCACAGATTTAACTCAGTGGCATAGTGTCTGTCTGGCAAGCCTGAGGTCCTGAGTTTGATTCTCAATAGCCCTCCACACACAAAAAGAATTCAGCTTGTGAACCAAGGTACCACTGCAAACTCTTTTCCAAAAAGTAAGTTGAAAGAAGAAACATATTTCAATGCCAGCATCCATTGTATTATTTGCTACTTTTTGCCTCTGCTCCTCTTATTCATAAGCTTCTATGGAGAAATTTATATAGACAGGTCAGTGTTACCTTTATAGAACACTGAGAATAGTTTGGTCACACTTTAAAAGTTTCTACCCAAAAAAACCAGGGAGTGATGATGCATAGTTATAATCCTGCACTCTGGAGGCTGAAGCAGGAGGATCATTGGGTGTTGGGGCCAGACTGAGCTACATAGTGAGTTCAAGGCCAGCCTGAACTACACTGTAAGACCCTGTCTCAAAAAAACCAAAAACAATCCAAAGAAGTTTCTGTCCAAGTTTGCAACAATCCTCAGCTTGATCAGTGAAGAAAAACGTAATGGCAATAATTCCAAGTTTCGGGGGCTGGGGATTTAGCTCAGCGGCAAAAGCGCCTGCCTTGCAAGCAGGCAGTCATGAGTTCGATCCCCGGTACCGATAAAAAGGAAAAAAAAAAATTCCAAGTTGCTGCGCAAACATAAAACTGTATTGTTTTTGCTGCTTAATGAATAGGGAAAGACTGCAAAATCCAATCCAGACTGGCTCCAGGTAAGAGGCAGTCATGATCCACCTACACGCTGCACGTTACCCAAGACTGAGAGTTTTCTTTCACACCACCTCACTCCAGCAGGCCATAGCAGTCTTTAAGCATGAAAGCTTTTCCAGAGCTGCTAAAATTCCTTTCAGAATCTGGAGAAGCCTACTTGGCGGAGCCCCCAAAACCAATACCCACATGTGTAAGTAAACCTACTGCAAGCATATCACCCAGCTGCAAACAAGAACACCGGGTCATTCATGGTGTACCCACAGCTACAGCCCAGAGGAGAAGACAGCTTAAGCAACAAGATCTGGCTTTTTCTTTTTCTTCTTGTGACATGGACTTGGTATGAAGCTCAGGCTGGCTTTGAACTCACTGTGATCTTCCTACCTCAGCCCCTGAGTACTGGGATCACAGGTATGCGCCACCATACCCAATTTCCCCACACCAGCCACTTTCTTTCAGAGTGTTGAGATTACAGGTATGCACCAACACACTTAGCTAAGCAGCAATAGCTTAAATGAGATTTCAGAGGTAGGGTCATTGCTAACACTGTCTCCTACTTACCATGCAGTATTCATTTTAAAAATGTAAGAGGATTCATTGTGTTATTCCCAGTCTATCAGTTACACAAGACTCTTGCAGTTTACTTAATCCAATTTTAGTGCAGTTTTTACGTTGAAAGAATCATCTGCCAGGTGTAGTGGCACACACCTGTAATCCTAGCACTCAGAAGGCCGAGGAAGAGGATCAACCGTGATTTTTGGGGCCAGCCCATACTATACAGCGAGTATGTTTAAGGCCAGCCTGAACTACTTAGTTCATTAAGCTTGTCTCAAAAAAAACAAAAGATGTGTCTATGCTGCATAACTAAATGAATACAACTCATTAAAATGCATACTTTTTTTAAAATTTTTTTTTAAACTTTTTATCGGTACCGGGATCGAACTCACGACCGCCTGCTTGCAAGCAGGAGCTTATGCCGCTAAGCTAAATCCCCAGCCCTAAAACGCATACTTTAAAGTGGATAAATTGTATATGTCTCAACAAACCTGTCACTGCAGTCCAAACAGTGACAAGAGGCTGAAGCAGAAGAGTGGGAATCTGACGGAGGAGCATATGAATCAGAGATTTGCAAATTTTTCCAATTCACAATACCCTTAGTGTCACAATTTTTTTTTCCCAACAATCCGGTGTCCTGCCATCCTAGTGTGATTTGGGTACTGCATGACTCCTACACTGTAACCAGATCCAACACTACCATCTACACCACTCCTTCTCCAGTGGCTTTCACAGGGTGTTGCTTTCTATCCCAGGAACCCTGCTCCTGAAAGCCAAGGTTAGCATTCCCCTGGACAGAGATGACAGAGCCTTTGGGCCTGACAACATACAAGTGGTTAAGGCACAGTTGCAGGAACCACTGCACATACAGTTTGACCAAGATGAGGTCACCGACAGGTACAAAATGTGGAAAATGGGAACCCCGTCGGCTAGAAGCTGCAGGACATCTGACAGATGCCAACTACACAGTGCTCTCTGGGTCTGTGAACACTTGGGGGTCTCAGTGCAGTTTGGGGGTGGTGAATATAAGCCACACTGAAGAGGTAAAAAATCAGGTCACTTGAAAACCAAACCATGAGGGGAGACAAAGGCTGAGAAGAACTGCAGGGGTCTCTGGGTCCAGGCCTTACTCGATTCTACACAGGAATCTTGCAAGGAAGACAAGGCTGTAACATCTCTAGGGGAAAACTGCAAAAACAGAAACAATTAAAAATTCTTTATATGGTCTAGAAGGATTCTTTTCTTTCACTTGCAGTTTGAGAATTTTACAGACAATGAATGAAACTTCACAGGCAGAGACTTCTCAGAGCAAAGGGAAGGGAACAGTAACATATCACGCAGGATTTTCATGTCCCACACTACTGTGAACATCCCCGCTAAAGTAAATGGAGCAGGCGCGCAGGGTCCCTTCCCCCTTCGGAAGGGTGTCAAAGCGAGCAAATGCCCTGGGTTCTACACAACTGCTCTTCAGGTGCTGCTGCCTCTTATCTGGCCACTGCTCCCTGCCACCTGACACTAAGAAGGTAGCGTACTCTATTTTGTGGTTCTCTGTGGTTTAAGGTTTTAACAAGGGAAAGAAGAGAAAAAGGCAAATGGCTCAAATTAGATGTATCTACAAAGCTACTCAGAGTATCTGCTGATGTCATATGTATGTTGATGCCATCGTAGACAATTTGAACTTGATTGTTTTGTCCTCTTCAGCATCTGCGACCGAATCTGTTCCCGAGCCACCCAGACTCTTAGATATGTGACGATGACCAGATGCGTGGGGTGATAAACGGGTCAGGGTGGCCACACTCACTGAACAGCCCTTTCCCGGCAACACTGCCGCAGCTTCACTCAAGCCGGCTCTGGACAGTAACCGCCGCACAGGAGCCACCAGCGCTCACACAACCTCCGCGCCCTCAGCTGTGCTCGCCCCATGGCATCTGGCCCTGGTGCTGTGTCCACAGCCTTTCACACGAGTCACCTTTCCTCCTGAACACAACCGGGAAACAGTGCAGATCTGTGTAGGAGGAAGTAGGCAGAAAACCCTTCCTTCCTGCGGCTGTTTTCTTAGTATCCCTCTCTACTACTGCTGTAAATCATTTCAAACTGCTAATTGAGGGCCACGCTGGACCGCTCTGAGGTACTGTGCACATTCAGTGCCACAGAAGAGGCTGGTCCCCAGAGACCAGGCCCCTCACAAGGAAAGAGGCCAAGCAAGTCACCAAAAGAGTCAGTCAGTCAACCACTGGCTTTGCGAGTGTAAACCATACTCAAAAAGCACTAAATATCTCTAAGAGGAGCTTCTGATAAACTCACAGTAATGCCAAGAGAAAAGTAAATTTAAGGAGGAAGGGGAAGACTTCCCGAGGTTATCAAGAACACTCACCCAGACACTTGAAAGGTATAACAGCGTGACTCTTGCATTGTTTTTTGTCCCGTCGGCACCAGTTGTCAACATTCACTGGCTGATTTGCTTCCATCACATTGGTGATCTGCAGCTCAGGATATATCTGTTAAGGAAAGAAAGTGCACACACGGTAAATCTACCTGCAGGTGGGCATGCACTTTCAAGCAAGAATAAGGACCCAAGCTTACTCACCCTCTACCCTTGGCCTACATAAATCTAGGTTCCACTCCACTACTCCTTGCACCAAATGAAGTTATCAAGTAAAAAGATCCTCTTAGGGGTTTTCTGACTAACAGTTTAGATTCTGACTATGTCCATGTATTCTGATCGAAGAATGGATCTGCACTGAAGAACAAACAGCAGTCTTTAACCCAAAACAAATCCAATTAAGTATTAAGTCTGCTTATAGGGCATGCATAAATCTCTAACTTCTTGGGGAGAAAAAAACAGAAAGTATTAATAGAATTACTGAGTTCTTCATCCCTGGCCCTTGATAAGAAATCTTATATCCTTTTCTTTCTGAACTAAAAGGTTAAAGTGAGTCAGACCTGAGGTGATAATTTATAGTGCTTTCTATCAATAAATAGAAAACACAAGAACACACATGACGTGTTTTGCCTTCCATCTCTCAAGACAGAAGAGTCAGTATGTCCTTGTACAGCGCTTGTTCATAGCCACACAAGGGCAAAGCTTGCAACATCTCAGTCACACCAGACACTTACAGCTCCAGTTCTGAGCATCTTGGTCTTGGATCAAAAGAATGGAGCCTCTATTTCTAAGATATTCAACCCTGACCAACCCAAGGGAAAAAAGGCGTTTTAACTTGCTGACAGTAGTCTTACCTCCTGACAGTACTGAAGAACCTTTTCCTTTGTTCCAAAGCAGCTCTTGGTGCCTGTTGGGTCAGGTTCCCATTTCCCAGTCTGAATGTTCACGTGCATATTTAACTTCCCACAAAACATTGCAATCTGAGGCTCAGCGACAGCAAATCCTGTTCCAGCGTTGGCTGCAAGAGCCTACCACAGAGGAACACAAAAATCCAGGTTGACTCCCAAAAAGACTAGCAAAAACATGTCTTGTGGTTTCCAGTTGAACTGGTCTTTTGTTAATCATCTTTACTCACTGTTTTCATTTTAAAAAACAAATCCTTCTCCCAGGAGGTAGGACAGAATTTTAAAATGACCTTTGGGCATGTATGGTCAAAGTGAAAGGTCAATGGGAAATCTAGCCCCCAAACTCCACCAGGGACACTTCCAACTTGAGAACTTTAAAATCAACTGCAGTCTGCAGCAAGCAATCTACAAATTCCTATGCATACCACATCATAAAACTAAAGGACAGCTAACATTCCAGCATTTCAGTTACCTCACTCAGACAACAAAAAGTCCTTACTGAAGAACTATTTTGCAAAGCAATATGCTAAACAGTTAGGATGAATGAGCATAAAGTAATGGCTCCATACTCTCTTCTGAATGTTCATGTGCATATTTAACTTCCGAAACACAAGTCAAAAGTCAAAAACGTATCATCGCAAATGTGTAATCACATCCTCAAGACAATATATAAAAGGGAATCTGACCTAGGCATGGATAGGGCAGCGATCAAGGAACTCTGAGCACCTCCCAGGGAAAATGCAGAAGAGTGGAGAAGAGCACTGAAGCAGGTCTGCAGAGCTGCACCCCGCAAGGAGCCCAGTCTTTATCACTGGGAATGCGGGGACATTTTTAAGGTCAAAGTTACTATTTTAAAACTGAAGCTATGGGGCTGGGGATTTAGCTCAGCGGCCTAAGCTCCTGCCTTGCAAGCAGGCAGTCGTGAGTTTTTGATCCCTGGTACTGATTTTAAAAAAAAAAAAAAAAAAAAAAACCCTGAAGCTATGAGGCTTTTTCTGGTTGAAGGTAAAAAATGAACTAAAAACCCCAAGAACATATCCAGGAGAATGGCTCGATCCACAGTGCAAGAGAAGAACAGTTGACACTAAGGTGCATGCTGGGGGCAGATTACACAATATAATGGGTAGTGAGAGAGTGGACGAGTCCAGCTTGGGCCATGGTTTGACTCCTGATTCTCCTGAGGCCCACACGCGAAGATGGCCACCAGCGCCATTACTAGGAGGCAGCAGCACCTTCAGGACAGTGACGGCGACCCCTTTAGGGTGCTCAATGATAGCAAATGGCCACTGCGGCTTGTGTGACCCAGGTGGCCAGCACTGCACCTCTATCAATAAATAGAATACACGGGAGGTCGGTAGGAATGCCCTGAAGAAGAGGTGGGGACCTTCACCCACTGTTGTCTCTCTCTGCTTCCCAGCCTCCTGGAAGTGAGCAGCAGCTCTGGCCATTCACTTTCACCATGATACCCACCCTCACTATTAAAGCTGTGAGCCAAAAACATCTTTTCCTTTTAAAAAACGATCTTGCTATGTAGTTCAGTTTATCTCACACTCATGACCTTCCTGCCTCTGATTCCAAGGCTGGGACGATAGGTGTGTTGCCGCTATGCCTGGCTCATCCTTTCACCTCTCCCTCTTTTTCTTTTGTACTTAAGAACCAAACCAAGAGTGCTCTACCACTGACTGACATCCCCAGCCCTTTCTTTTATTTTTTTCCGTCTTGCTAAATTACCCAGAAAGGATCCAAACTTCCCTATCCTCCTGACTCAATCTGGGATTACAGGTATGTACTTAGGGATATCAGCTTCCTTTCCTTTTGTTACAGTAACACAAAGCTAACTAACACAGCTTGCATTACTCAATATACAGTGGCATCATTCCTGAAACAGAATTCTCAAAGGGATTCCCATAAGCCAGGCGAAGTGTCTAGTCTCTGCTACATTGAAGGATTGTTTGAAGCCATGAGTTCAGGCCCAACCTGGAAAACACAGGCAGCCGTGCCCCTTCCTTTTGTAAGTATAGTGGGAATTTCATGAGCACTTTGATCTTGTGTTGGGTAAAATAATTGACTATTTCACAAAGTCTTTCTTTGGTCAGTATCATCTAGTTTTGTTACTAGTTCTTAATTATTAACAGGTCAAAGTTAACAGTGAGAAGCAGCATTCAGGAACCATGATAGTAAGGTTTCTGCCAAGTACTGTGCTAAAGGGGCACAGGCATCTATGCAGAAGGGCCTGCAGTCCTCACCGCTACCCACAGGATGAACCCCAAGATTCCCGGGGTGCCTGACACTGCAGAGCACTAAACCTCATACCGTACATGCTTCTTCCTATGCACACAAGTCTATGATAAAAGATTTACTCTACACAGAGAGAAACACAACAAAATAGAATGTGGCTTACCAAAGTCAGCCTGCATTCTACTAGTGTATGACAAGGAAACAGAGACACTTGGTAGATCACTGAGAGAAAGCTAATTTGGAATTAAAATGTTGCTAAGACCTACCAAGGCTGAAAACAATCTGTTTTTCAATAAATAACTGATATCTTTATTAACTAAAATTCTATGATGAATTATCACTTACTGAAGAAAGTTCTATGCCTTACTTCAATAAAATTGCTTGTAAGGCTACAGGCTAATGGGAATTCCTGTCCCCTCCAAAGGAGGAAGAAATGTAAAGGCATCTAGAGGAAAGAATACACACTTTATTTATAGTAATACTTTACTGGTACTTAATTCAAACATTCCCTGAACTATCATAGCTACATCTGAAAGATTCAGAAAAACATGTCCTAATTCTTGCTAGTCTTGCGTACTTTAACATTAAAGGCAGCTATTTGTTAAACAGGATTTGAGTGTGGCATCTAATCTTTCAGAAGACAGAGGGGAAGCAGAACATTTATACCTTAAATTCTAAAAATGAACACAGGGGTTGAAAAAAGAAAAGAAAAAAGTGTCAGTTAGTTATGAGTGCTCACACAACCCAGAGCCATGAAGCAGTCTGTTTTAGTGCAGGCAGCCATTCAATGGCACCAGAGACAACGCTCGTGGGTTACTCATGGCGGGTTACTGTTAGCCGAAAGACCACAGGAACTCCAACTGTGTGAGCGGTCACGACACGGGTCAACCGCGGGGGTCAATGCCCGAGTGCTAAGTGCACTTGATCTCTGCACTGCCATGGTCAGCACTACCTTCCCCCAAAGACAAGCTAAAATACCAGAGGTTAAAGCAGCAGGAAGGGGAGTTACGTAGCAAGAGATCCTCGTATCAGTTACCACCAAGAAAAAGGAGTAACTGGAATCCATCCAGACAGCTAATAGGCTGCAGTGATTCACTTCTGAGTTCAGAAAGATTAATCCTGTGGTCATGAGAGACTCTCAGGAAGGTATCATCTGAAACATAAAAAGCCTCTGTGGACCATATCTAGGAATCGACTAATCAAACATACCCCTACCTTACCTAGAGTGAGGCAAGGTTTTTTTCCTACAATGTTTGGACTTACTCACTTTGAAAATACTCTTATTTAATGTGCTCTCCATTTTCTTAAGCACAGACTGCGCCCTGATCCATTACATCAACATATAAATCAATCTGTTTCCGAATCTAACATGTTACAAATGGGGTTGCTCTGCCAAGTCAGCACTTCTGCTATCCTGTGAATCTGGAGTCCTTTATGAAAGAAAATTAATGTCCCACACGCTGGCACTTAAGTCAGCCCTTGTGATCTATGCACACTGCAGCACTTTCTAGGCTTTGGAAACAAACTGCATCAACTGCTTTCCTAGCTGGTATTTCTACTTAGCTTAATAATTCATTCTTAATAAGAAATTCCATTTTATTAATTTGGCTCAGGGAAGAGAGTTTAGCTATCCAAAGACAGAAATTTAACTTGGTAAAAAGTGCTTCTAGTAATTTGGTTGAAACCCCAAAATAGCTTAAACCATAAACTGTGTAAACATAGTAAATCTAAATCTGAAGCTAAGGTAAATCAGGTCCTTCAGTCATCACTGCAAGAGAGAAGAGATGAAACTATGGGGACCATCTACACCCCATCTCCCTTTACTCAAGACCAAGGCAGTCCTTCTACTGCAAATCGAGAACATACTGCCACGGAATCAAACCTGACTCCAGGGTGTGTGACAGTGCCTGCTGTAGAGCATCTTCCCCAAGGTGGGGAGAGGTTCTGCTACTGGGAAACCATGGTTCCCTGGATGCCAGGAGGCAGCGTACGCAGACGCCCTGTCCTAGGAAGGCAAGCTAACACAGTTCCAGTACTAAAGAGCTCTGAAAAGAAACAGGCCTTGATAGCACCTAATTATCACGGTACGTTAGTGATAGTTATTTAGAGGCATGGAAGAGAGAAAGTCAGTAAAGCAGCAGCCTACTAAAAGACCTGAAGATCCTACATACTATTTTCCCTCTTGCTTGTTCAAGTGCTGAATACTTCATGATTCGTAAACTAATGATTTAAATCTATGCCCACGAACCTTCACCAAAGATTTACTTAGTGAACGAAGTGACATAAATCTTTTTCTTACCACACTTTCAAGATATCCCCCTAGATATTTTCTCGCTATAGAAGCTAAGACAGTTATTTCAGGGTGGAAACACCCAGGAGACACCATGGTTAACTTCCTCAGCAGTAAGACATTTAAGGCTAAGCAGAAAGGACAGAACAGAGGGAGGACTCAGGAACAGGGAAAGGAGAGCTGTGGGAAGACTGAGCAATTACTTGCACGAGTGCAAAGTTACTGGTTCAGCTAACTGCTCTACAGGTTATGCAAGATGTTAACATTAGTGGAAGGCAAGGGAGCTCTGAACTAACTTGGTAACTTTTGTTTAAAGCCTAAAAGTAACTAAAAAGAAAGTATTTTGGTGGGTAAAGGGCTGACACAGTTCAGAGACAGAGTTTATGCCTAGCACTGGGTTTGATTGCCGGTCCCAAAGAGACGAATGGGTCTTGTTTTAGTCTGTCTGTCACCTGTCTGGATTTCAATCTCAAGGGCACATTTCCTATTTAAGAGTCTCATCTAACAGTGGGGCCTGTGGTGCACACCTATAACCCCGGCACTTGGGAGGCTGAGGCACAAGGACCACAAGTGTGAGGCCAGCCTGGACTATAGA